TTTAACTACAAGCTAAATGAGGGGTTGGGAGGCGGTGGATGATGATATTAGTGCTTCTTTTTTCTCTGTGCACATTTTTTTTATATACTCCATGTACATATATTTCATTTCCACCCCCAACCTGTATTCATGCTCATTGACATATATGGATTTGAAATACAGAACTGACGATGATGAGTGGTATTGCTGCAATCCTTCGGTTTCCATTGCCCGACCTAGATGACATAGAGATGTGATGCAATGGAGGAAGGAGTGCTGATCACATTATTCTGTCTCCATTATATTGATGTGAGATTCCTCAAAGAGAGCTTAGTAGGTGATGATTCAATTACATATACTTCCCATTCTCCTTATATATATATTACAAAATGGATTGCTTAGCTTGTATTGTACTGTATATAGTCTTCACAAGAACAGAGCTATCTTCTTCATAAGCAAATGGGATTTGGGTATTTGATATACCGGGTCATTTGGAATCTCACTCAAATGGAATAATATTTCTGTCACATTTTTTAAAAGTTTAGTGTAGGTGAAGACACCATCACATATTGTAGATGTGCTTTTAGTTTGAATATAAGTATTTTTTGTACAAGTAGATGTGATTCATTTTTCTATGTATGCTTAGTTGTTTAGTACTTTGTATATATGAAGTAGGAGATAAAAATCTTGTTAAAATCAAATGCATACCTTTACGCCAAACTTTATAGCTAACAATAATATTATGTTTTAATGGTTGAATGTTGAAATTAACACTCTAAATCTTTGGCCAACAAATCTATTGTTGTACTCTATGATTCCATCAAATTTGTAGAATAGTATACTCGAATCTTGCATCTGCTTTGTGTAGTAACAGTAACATTATAGCCCACATCCATCTTCTTTTTTGCTTAATTTTTTGAGTTTTACTATGTGTGCTCTTAAATTTCAATTGCACTTCATTTGACATGGCAAATAAGGATATTTTCTTTATATGGGTCTCAAGAAAAGTGTTTATATCAAAGATATATTTGTGAGAGGAAGTAGAAGTTGAGAGTAAAAAGTGGGAGTCCATATAGTATTTTATTAATTTTCAGGAGTGTGCTTGGTTTTTCTACATTAGTATGTGAGTTAAATGCTAATTTAACTTCCGTGCTAGTGGTACCTTTGTCTTGTACAAGTATAAGAAATCTTGATACACTGTTCTAGGGCAAATTATATTTTGCACCGCGGTGCATAATCGATTATGCACCACGCGTTTTTTTTTTTAAATGAAAATTAAAAGTGTTTATTTCCGCCGTTTCGCACCCTTTTGCAAAAAGTAACTCTGTTATTCAGTGTCATTTTGTATACACTGCAGTTTCAGTTGAACACAACTACAGTTTCATTTCGATATAACTATAGTTTCATTCGATATTTATAGACTCAAATATGTGAAAATGTTATTTAATTTTATTTTATATACACAATAGTTTTATTAAAACACAGCTACATGATCATTTTGATATAATTATAGCTTCATTGTACAATATACACTCAAATATGTGAAATGTTATTCAGTTTCAGTTTATATACACTGCAGTTTCATTTCACTATAACTACAGTATCATTTTGATATAACTGCAGTGTCGGTTTGGATATACTGTAGTGTCAGTTGGTGTTTAATACACCAAACAAACGGACTCCGTTAACTCTAACGGCGGGCCGTTTCTTTACTTAAAGAAACGGCGCCGTATATGGGCCGCGGTGCATAATCGATTATGCACCGCGGTCTATAATATAACACCTGCTGTTCTAGGGTCGAAGATGTGGTTACTAGATATTGAAACTTCACATGTTGATTTAACTCCTGGGATCTTCTATTTGATACCCTACCATTTATCCATTGTCATCTCTCCGCTCTAAAATGTTTCAGTTTGATGGATTGTTAGAACCTTTAAGTGGTTCAAAAACTTTCACTTAGCGTAGTGTAGTTCAATGCAATTAATTGTCTCTTGTTATAAAGGTACTAGGTCAATTTTTAAATTTATGGAAACTCAATATGAACAAATGTCAGAGTGCTTGAAAACTTCAAATTCCACCTGGACTAGAAGAGCTCTGCATAATGGGTTGTCTCTTACTTGAAAAGGTAGTAGGTAATCTCTCCATGTTAACAATTCTTTAATTGGAAGATTGTCAGACCCTTCAAGTGCTTCAAGAACTTCCACCAAACTTATGAGAACTTAAGATAACCAATTGTCTCTTGCTGGAAAATAAGGTACTAGGTCTAACCTAATACATCTATCTGTAATCGTTCTAACTGCAATAACTTAATTGAGCTTCATGGCTTGGAGAATCTCGTTTCAATAGAAAGTTAGAAACAATTAAAAAAGGTGATGAATCTATTGTTAATTTTCTTGGCCGCACTTAGGTGCAAGTGGAGGATTTGGCATTGGTTAGTTGGCTGGTCACTTTAGATGACCATAAGTTGTACATTTTCAGGGTCTTTGATCGGAATTTCGACCTTCGATTGCTACGTTGACGACGAAAGGTGAGCCAGTATGTTGGGTTGAACTGTTAGATTTCTTGGTGACTAATGAATTTATTTGTGGAGACTACAATTATGCTATGCTCACTTAGTCACTTTGAATGGTACTAAAAAAGATTGTTGGAGATATAATATTGCACTGCTAAGCTCCAAAAAATCATTGGAGCCCTTCATATCATTAAATCTTTCTTGATATTTTTTTTAAGGGAGGAGGATATTTTGGCATAAAAGATATTGTTAAGATCAGATATTGAATGGTTGTGGTTGAGGAGTTTCTACGCTCAAGGAGGTGTAAACTTGTACCTAGGAGACAATGAAATGGATAGGGCCACTCACAGAAATGGAGCCCTGCTCACTTGTCCTACTTTAATTTTCTACAGTCTAAACTTGTAGCTTGGAGTAAATGAATTGGGACCACTCACTGAAATGGAGCCCTGCTCACTTGTCCAGTCTAATTTTCTACAGTGTTAGCGTGTACCTAGGAGTAAATGAATTGGGACCAAAGGAGGAACTTGCCTCTAAATTTCCATGGATGCTTCTTTCATTTCTCCTGCCAATTCACAATTGCCTTCTTTTGTTAACCCAAATGTCGTCACAATAGGAGCAACCCCGATCAAGTTAGTTGAACAGTTGGCTTTGTAATCACAAAATTTTAAGTTCAACTTTCTATGTTTTCAATTGCACACACTTATGGACAAATATGCATAGTGCTCAGTATTATTCCATAACATTGGAGGTGCTCAGTAAAACGACAATTTTGAATGGTATGGTACTTGTTGTTTCGTTTAGCTTCATTTGGCACACCTATAGAATTGCAGTGCACACACCATTGCTCGTACATGCACACGGCAATTTAGAATGCTATACTATTGGTATCTTGCAAGAAAAGGGGTTCTCTAACTACGCACACTCTTTCGCACATACATGCACACGCTCTTACATAACACTGCACTCATTGATTTCAATAACACTTCAGGAAATGGGTAAAAAACACATCTTGTTTTTAATAATAAGGATAATATTGTATTTCAATTATATTTCAATTCAAACAAGAAACTAAAATTACTATACCACCCTTATGTATTAAATATATCCTAATATAAATTGGTCTTTAAATTAAATCTTAACCATTAATTGGATGATTGTGATAAGATCCCATGATCTCATCTACAACGCTGGTCTCATATGATCCAATAAAAGGCATAATCTCATATGAGAATTCGTGAGATATGCCGGATTTTTCATTAAGTATTACACTTTTCTTCATAACTATAAGCTATTATTTAATACAATCAATATCAACAATCAATTATAAGCTATTTACCGATTTTTTTTTTTTTTTTTGGGGAAAAATGACACTTTTTCCCCCTAATTTATATGCTTATAGTACTTTTTCCTCCTGAGTTATTCGTGCATTCACATTTCTCCTATATATTAAATGAACGTTTCTACCCTTAAACTAAATATTTTATTTATTTCTCTTCTTCAACAAATTATTGCTTATACGTACGGATTACCATAGTTCGGTTCGAACTGAACCGGACACTATAGCAATCAAATCAAAATATTTCGGTTATGATTCAGAACCAGAACCCAATATTTGGGTTCTATTTATTAAAACCGTGAACTGGAAAAAAATGGATCCTGAACCGTACCGTGAACCGGAGGTTCAAATCGGAATAACTACTAGTATTAGCTTAAAATTAGAATTATAATATTTGTAAATAGTGTATGTTTTTTTTCGCATTTATACTAACTCTCACATAGAACTCCTTTAATAAAATTACTCACAACTTCATGAAATATCTTCGTCCTTGCTGGGGACCTCCAAAATTTGCAAAAGATTTTTTCTTTGTTGTCATCCTCAACACTTGTCCTCTTTCAATAATTGAAATTTAAATCGTGTGATTCATAGCAGTCTAGCAGACAAGGACTGTACTTTTATTAAGACTTGGATTTATATATACTAATAATTGAGATTCCTGAATCGGCACAAGGCACAAGGACGATATGATGTCTCCCCAAATTATTTAATTTATGAATCTTGAATTCTTGATTGATACCATTCCTTTTTGACAAATTAAAAAACAAAAAAGAAAAGAAAAGATGAGACAACTTCCTTGTGCCTCAGCATGATTACCGTACCAAACCCATATTTAACTTTGAAGCATCTACTTTATGTTTAAAAATGTGTTACTTTTTTCCATCGTATCAAAGATGTTGAATAGTTTAACGGTATTTATTTGCATATGCTTTTTCAAGTCTATGCATTCACACCGCAACTTCTTACCGATTTGTTAGATTACTATGGGAAAGAAAGTGGGAAACACCATCATATCTTCTTCGCTTTCTGTATTTAATTTGCTTTATCAAAAGACATTAAAGTTGGTCTTTCTATTGGGGCCCTTTCTTATGTGACACAATTCCAAGTAGGTTCAGAGCAATTTACATATACACTCACAAACCAATACCAGACATCTACCTGCTGCTATAATATCCAAGAAACATCCAACAAACTTCATACCAATTTCCAATATTTCTTACACTAAGCTAGATCAGATATGATGTGTATATAAATGCCACATGAAGTAGTAGTATCAGACGCACTACTAATCATACACTAAGCAACCTCTACTTCCTTGTTTTTACCATAACCATCATGGAATCCACTTCCCAAACTAATCAACTCATCCTTGCCTCTTCATCCTCTTCACTTCCGCGCAAGAATTACGATGTCTTTTTGAGCTTTAGAGGTGAAGACACACGAAAATCCTTTACAGATCACCTCTTTGCTGCGTTGTGCCGAGTTGGAGTTCACACTTTCAGAGATGCAGAAGAGCTCCGTAAAGGAGAGGACATCTCCACTGACCTCATCAAAGCTATTCAAGAATCAAAGATCTCCATTATTGTGTTCTCCAAAACCTATGCCTCTTCCCGGTGGTGTCTTGAGGAGCTTGTGAAGATAGTGGAATGTAAAGAAAAGGCAAATCAGGTGGTTCTCCCTGTATTCTATGATGTTGATCCTTCTCAAGTGCGCAAACAAACCGGTGAGTTTGGTGAAGCCTTGGCTCAACATCAACAACGATTTGGGACCAAAAAAGTTAGTCAATGGAAAACAGCTCTGACCAAGGTTGCAAATTTTTCTGGTTGGGATTTACTGAACGATGCTGATGGGTATCTTGATTTCTCCCTTTTATTTTTAAAAAAAATATTAAAACTTTTTGGTAGCATTTTCTGGTTGTCTTCTTCCATTATTCCCCTTATATGATACAATCCGTCGGTCAGTAATTTAGTCATCAACAAAAATTTGCAGGTATGAATCAAAATTAATTGACAAAATTTTAGAAAAGATTCTACAAGTGGTGGACCGGACATTTTTTAATGTTGCAAAATATCCCGTTGGAATTCATACTCGGGTTAGCGAAATACTTTCTTTATTACAAAGTAAATCAAATGGTGATGTTTGTATGATAGGGATTTATGGCATGGGTGGGGTAGGTAAAACAACCTTAGCGAAAGCCATATTTAACCAAATTTCTGAAACATTTGAAGGTAGTTGCTTTCTTGATGTTAGATCAGAATGTTCAAAAGGAGGGAGTGTAGGTTTAAAATGTTTGCAGAAGCAGCTTCTTTGTAATACTCTCAAAACAGTGAGATTTGAAGTTAGCCATGTTGATGAAGGAATTAGTTTGATCAAATTAAGACTTGGATCAAAAAGGGTACTCATTGTTGTTGATGATGTAGACCATGAGAGTCAATTAGACGCATTAGTCGGGGACCAAAATTGGTTTGGTTGTGGCAGTGCAATTATTGTTACAACTAGAAATGTCAACTTACTGAATGGCCTCGGAAAAGATTGTGAGTTGTATAATATTGCAATGTTAAGTCACGATGAATCTTTGGAACTCTTTAGTTGGCATGCTTTTAATAACCAAAATCCTAAGGAGGTTTTTGCAGAACTATCAAACGAGATAGTAAGGTATGCTCGTGGACTTCCTTTGGCACTTACTGTTCTAGGCTCACATTTCCGGTCAAGGTCGTCATCAATTCAACACTGGAGAGCTGACTTTGAGAAGTTAAGAAAGATTCCTCATGAAGATATTTTGAATATTCTCAAAATTAGTTATGATGCACTTGACGTTGATACTCAAAGAATCTTCCTTGATATTGCTTGTTTTTTTGAGGGTGGATATATCCGAAAAGAAGAGTTTCAGATATTGAACGGTTGTGGTTTCTTTGCTCAAAGTGGAATTACAAGTTTAATTGATAGATGCTTGTTAATGGGAACAAATTATTATATGCATGATTTAGTTCGAGATATGGGAAGAGAAATTGTTCGCCAAGAATCTCTTATGGTGTCTGAAAAAAGAAGTAGATTGTTTTCATGCGATGAGGTTTTGGATGTGCTCGTGAACAACAAGGTAAATTAAAACACACTTGATTTGCTTTATTATTTTGGTATGTATGTTTTTCAAATCGTTTGCTAAGAAATCACATTTTGTACTTTTTCAATAATTTATTTTGATTATACTTGTGTCACTTAGGAATGTTTTAACGCTGTGATTTTTTTTTATTTGTTAGGGCAATGAAGCAATTGAAACAATGATTATTAATTTGCCAAAGGAAGTGCATTTGAGTACTAAAGTATTCTCTAAAATGAGCAGGTTAAGATTACTCAGGATCCTATCCATGAATGCCAATGGACCATTAAAATACTTACCCAAGGAGCTTAGGCTACTTGTTTGGAATAATTGTCCATTGAGACGCATATCTTCTGATCTTTGCCCGAAGAAGCTTGTTATTTTAGAAATAACAAACAGCAATATTAAGGAATTTAAACCCAGTTTGCAGGTTTGAAGTTTATTTGATTTTTTTTTTTTTTTGACATTACATCTTTTTTAAAAAGTTATCATAATTTATTCGGACAAAATGATTGGGAAAAGCTTACTAGCTACAACTTTTTATATTTTGATTTAACAGCATTTTAGATGGTTGGAGATCTTAAGGCTTGATGGATGCAAGCAACTTAAAGGATCCCCAAACTTTACTGGAGCACACAAGCTAAAGACATTGTCATTCTCTTATTGTTCAAAATTGGTTGAATTGTCACAATCAATTGGAGATTTAGAAAGTCTCGTTGAGTTAAATATGAGAGGTTGCATGAATCTTAGAGCACTTCCCAATAGTATTTGCAACTTGAAGTCGCTTAAGTGTCTTGTTTTGATTAGTTGCTCCAAGATTAAAAAATTGCCTACTAACTTGGGAAAATTAGAGCAACTAGGTGTGCTTAATGCTGCATGGACATCAGTCTCACATGTGCCTTTGTCTTGTGGATCTTTGAAATATCTCTACTATCTGACACTAGGGCAGCTCGATTATATCTATGTGGGGTATGAGCGTAGGAGTGTGGAACCTGTTTCTTCTTTAGATGCTAATTTATGTCTCTTGGAAACTCTACAGGCTCCTTACCAGTCTATGCAACATTTAGATCTTCAAATAGGGAGTCTATCATTCTTGACATTTCTAAACCTAAGCAATAGTGACTTCACTACCATTCCCTTTAACCTTTCTCATCTTTCTCAGCTAAAAGAGTTAGTTTTGAACAACTGTCAGAACCTTCAACTGATTAAAGATCTTCCACCTAGCCTAGGTCAGCTCGTTGCATGCTATTGTCCCTTGCTGGAAAATATACAAGATGTATCAGTGCTATATTCGTTGTCTCTTTCTATCTACAAAAGTTTGATTATTGAGCATCGATGCAGTTACTCCGATACCCTGCCCTTTAACCTTTCTCATCTTTCTCAACTACACAGTCTCCTACTGGATAACTGCGAGAACCTTCGGGTGATTCAAGATCTGCCTTACTCAAGTTTAAAGGATTTGCGGATTCGTAACTGCAGTAATTTGATTGAAATTCAAGGCATGGAGAATTTTGTTAGTTTACGTTCAATCGAGATGGTAGGATGTAGCGCTCTAGTGAGTAATTCTTGTCGGGCGAAGTTGTTCAAGGTTAGTGATCTCATCTGATTTATCTCTGAAACTGCCTCAACTCGATCTAATGCTTTCATGCTAATGCTTCTCATGCATTTATTAATTAATTTCTTTCTTAATATATATACGCACGCAGGCATTTTTACAAAACCCAAACCTTCACGGGTTTAAAATGACGGTTTCAAAAGACATGGTGGCAGAAGTAGTAGTTGGATGTTCATCATCAAATTACACATTGCCATTGTTTTCGTCCAAAAAAAGGATACTTATACTTGTGACGATTTCATCATGTTTGTTTAGATGTCATTGTTGTTTCAAATACAAAACCACAAAGGAGCTTAATGAGTATGTGAGCCACAGAGATCCCATATGGAATACGGTGTTGAATTGCATAGTATATGATGATTTTATAGAAGCCAATAAAGTGGAAGAAGTAAAGGTGGTTGTAGAGTTTTATTCACCACTGAAGCAAGGAGCTGAAGAGAATTTTGAAATTGAAACATGTATAGTTTATGAAGAAGAGGATGAGGTTTACTTCTTTCCTGTGAACCCAAATAAGCTCATCAAATTCCACCCTGACGATCTTTCTTCATACATGTCGGGAGATGTATATCCAGGGGTTAATATAACACTCACAATTAGCTCTCCAACCTCTGATTCAAAAATGGAAACAGAGCAGCAGCGCAATAGGCAATATGAAGAAGAAGAAGAAGATGAAGGAGGGAGTTGGAAGCTTTTATGTGGATGTTTTGGCTGCTTTTTTTGACAGACAATTGGCTGGGGTCATGAAACTGAATAACATTTAACATATTTGAGTGTATATTGTGCAATGGAGCTTTAGTTATATGGAAATGATCATGTAGTTGTGTTTAATTGAAACTATAGTGTATATAAAATAAAATTAAATAACATTTTCACATATTTGAATATATAATTATCGAATGAAACTATAGTTATATCGAAATGAAACTGTAGTTATATCGAAATGAAACTGCAGTGTATACAAAATGAAACTGAATAACAGAGTTACTTTTTGCGGAACGGCGCAAAACGGGTGCCGTTTCTTTTCATTAAACAAAACGACGTCGTTTGAAACTCGGTGCATAATCGATTATGCACCGTAGTGCACTGTCACAATTTTGGGCAGAAGGCAATCACCACTTTGGCACTTTGACTTTGAGTGGTTTTTTTTTTTTGGTAGTATGTGAATATAATTATATTATTTTCATCTTTGTAGTTTTAGTTGTATATGTGATTTAGCTCATGTATAGTTAAGGACATTATTTTCTAATGTTGTTTATTATAGAGGGACATAAATTACAATTTTTTCTTTATTATATTAATCTGACCTAATAATAGTGATTGAATTTTTTTGTAAGTATGATATATCTATACTCTAATTTGTAGGATATTAAATTATTTATTAATTTATTTTTAATGTAAGATTAAAATATGGAAAACTAAGACGAATGATACATGATAGAACTCATTTGTACTTTTACCTATTGATACAACAATGTGATATTAAATATTTAAAAAAAGAAAAATTGTAATTTATGCCCCTTTATAATATGTCAATTATCAATGTCACATCTGAATGATTAGTGGTAAAAATGTTGTCTCTCAATTTTCAAAAAAGTACATATATTGCCCCCCGGTGGTGTAAATGTTGTCCTTCAATTTTCAAAACGGTACATATATTGCCCCTCCCGTACGGTACGGGAGGGACAATATATGTACCGGTTTAAAACTTGAGAGACAACATTTACACCACTAATAATTCAGGGGTGATATTGATAATTATCATATTATAGAAGGGCATAAATTACAATTTTCTCTTTAAAAAAATATCCAATGAATGAATAGTACAAAGAGTTAATTCCAGCAATGGTCCTCTGACTATATTGATTTTCCAAAATTAGTCCTCAAGTTTTAATTTGAACACTTTACGTCCCTTGACTTTCAATTTCTTTCCAATTGAGGTCTTTTCGTTAGATTACAATAAATTGGACTTTAAATGAAAGGGTGGTAAAGTAGTCATTTCATCTGCCTAATGTATAATTATTCGTATTTCTCCCTTGTATGCACGACTTCGGACATCAGATTCACTTAATTGCTTAATCCCTAAATCCACTCAAAGAACAAAATTCCATTAGGGCTTGTCTAAATTAAATGCAACCGCTTGTGCTTGTGTTATTTAGTTTGTCGATTTTCCTAGTTCTTATTGCTGCTATAAAATTAAATCTATAGCGCTTGTCTTAGATTATTTAGTAGTTAGGAGTAATTAAACCGCGTGTGCTTTAGTTACCTACAACTAAGGGAAAACAGAAATGAAATAATTTCACGACAAATATTCAATTACATATTAATTACCATTTGAATCAATGATCAGTGCTGAATTCCGACAGTGGATCTTTACTAACCAAGGTTTTCTATTATAAGTGCTTTCAATATATTATTTCATTGTTTTATTCGTTTATTTACTTTGATTATCACTTTCATACCAAACCCTATTTCTTTTAATTTGAGCACATACATTGAACTAGTTACTCCTAGTAGAATCGACCCTTACTCCCGCTACTACGTTTGTAAGGTTTTAATTTAAGAGCTTACGACAGATGGTCATTCTTCATCCTCATATTTGCTTTCAAAGGCTTCGTAAAGTCTAGTTTGGTACGGACACGCATAAACGATCACAAGGCTCCATCAAAATTTCGGGCATCCGCCTTCTCGAACTCACCCACATGGTTTCCGATAACCATCATATCGCAACCTTTTCTGACATAAAGCCAACTGGTAGGTTATGAACTTGCAACCAGAAAGAAGCCGTATCTAACTTAACAGTAACTAGGGCCTCACAAGTCGCACCCAGATCACTAGGGCCACCCTTCTCCATGAAGCAAGAAAACACGCAGCCAAAAAACAAAACCCAGAACACTCACAAGGAGAGAGGAAAACACTCACGGTAGAGAGAAAAGTTGTCTTATTAAAAATTCCTTTGTACTATCTTTGAGCAATTAATGCGATTACAATACCAACTTGTCTACTTCAAACACTTCATTGGCTTTATATTCATTATCCTTTAATTAATCAGGTTAGTTGGTTTCAGCCGCTCCAAAATAATGGTCCGTTTGGAAAGCAAAAAAATGGCTTCTGAAAAACATTAAAAAATGGCTTCTGAAAAACATTTCCTTTTCAATATTTGGATGCGTAGTAAAAAATTGTCTTTGTGTGTTTGGTTCATTTTCCAGAAATGAGTAGGAAAATGACAAAACCCAAAAGAAAAAATATCACAAATTACTTCGAATTCAAAGCTACTGCAAAATGGTTCATCTGCCCAGTAATATTCAAACACTAAAATAACAATTAATCCAGTGGAAAGAGAAGGGAATTCAAAGCTACTGCGAATATCCGTTTCCGAACTATTAGACCTTATTATCGCCGTGGATTCCGAAGCCAAAAAATTTCTTCTCCGAGATCGCGGATTTGTATTCGGCGTTATCGAGATTGTTAGTAGTTGATTCAGAGTGGGACGCTGAATCCTCAGAAGCAGCGATTTCTTGATATCGCTAGCAATGCTCCGGAAAAATCAGACACGACTGGCGTTATCGGAAGCTACAGAAATGGGGGCGACGCTGACGCAGAGCACTCTGCGACTTCTGAAATTTCTGTCGACGTACAAAGACGGGAGATGGAATTGGTGGTGGAGCTTTTATGACTAGGAGCGTTTCTAGCCACAGAAGAGAGGAGGAATGGAAAATGACTTCCCCCAAAAAAAGGGGGAAGTCATTTTTCGAAAAGGAGAGCTATTTTCCTTTGACATTAAGCTATTTTTCATTGACTTTTGTTTTCCATTCCTATCCAAACACTAGAAACTCGGAAAATGACTTCCAGAAATCATTTTCCGAGTTCCAAACACACCTTAAATTTTTTTCATCAATTAGTGTAGTTGGTTTGTCCCCCTACTTAAAAGTCATGACGGGAGGCGAGAATGTGTACACATGAAGACAAGGATTTGAGTCATGACGGGAGGCGAAAATGTGTACACATAAAGACTAGGATTCGATCGGTGGCTGATTGCGCGCCTCGTGATTTATCTCCAGTAACTCTAGGGACGAGATACTATGAGCTTAGAATTAATCATAGCGAAGCTGGATCACTTAAAAAAGAAAAAAAATATTGCGGATGAAGTTGGTCTTCGAATTGAGGCCCTTGCTCTGTTTCTCATGTGGCATTCACTAATTCTAACCGTTCTGGGCAATTCAATGAGTGGATTTTGTACTAAAGTAAGTTCAGAGCGGACACTTACCTGCTGCTATTTATCCAAGAAACTTCATGCCAATTTCCATTTCCATTTCCATTTCTTACACAAGATATGAAGAAGTATCAGTAGTAACCCTAATTTAAGCAACCTCTCCTTCCTTCCTTTTCTTAACCTTCAATTCAGGTGTTTCCACCACCATCATATCATGGAATCCACTTCTGAAACTAATCAACTGCTCCTTCCCTCGTCTTCCTCTTCACTTCCGCGCAGGCACTACTATGATGTCTTTTTGAGCTTTAGAGGTGAAGACACACGGAAGTCTTTTACGGATCATCTCTTTGCGGCGTTGTGCCGAGCCGGAGTTCACACTTTCAGAGATGAAGAAGAGCTCCGTAAAGGAGGAGACATCTCTACTGACCTCATCAAAGCTATTCAAGAATCAAAGATTTCCATTATTGTGTTCTCCAAATCTTATGCCTCCTCCCGATGGTGTCTTGAGGAGCTTGTGAAAATAGTGGAATGTAAAGAAAAGGCAAATCAAGTGGTTCTCCCAGTATTCTATGATGTTGATCCTTCTGAAGTGCGCAAACAAACCGGTGGGTTTGGTGAAGCCTTAGCTCAACATCAACAACAATTTGGGACCAAAAAAGTTAGTCAATGGAAAACTGCTCTAACTAAGGTTGCGAATTTTTCTGGGTGGGATTTACAGAATGATGTTGACTGGTACCTCTAATTACTCCATTTTTATTAAAAATAATACGTAGTAATAAAATTACTGCATACTTTTTGTTAGTCTTTTCTTGTTTTCTTTGTCATTTATTCCTCTCATTGCATACAATTCTTTGGCTAATAATTTACTCAACCAAACTTTAATTTACAGGTATGAATCAAAATTTATTGACAAAATTGTAGAAAATGTTCTACAAGTGGTGAACCATACATACTTGAATGTTGCCAAATATCCTGTTGGAATTCATTCTCGTATTAGAAACATACTTTCTTTCTTGCAAAGTGAAGCAAATGATGATGTTCGTATGATTGGGATTTATGGTCTGGGTGGGGTAGGAAAAACAACCCTAGCTAAAGCTGTATTTAACCAAATTTATAGAACATTTGATGGTAGTTGCTTTCTTGGAGATGTTGGAAAAGAATATGCAAATGTAGGTTTGAAAAGATTACAAGAGCAACTTCTTTGTACACTTCTCAATAGAAAGAGCTTGAAAGTTGATCATGTTGATGAAGGAATTAGTTTGATCAAAGAAAGACTTGGATTAAAAAAGATTCTCATTGTTGTTGATGATGTAGATTGTGAGAGTCAATTAGATGCATTAGTCGGGGACCGAAATTGGTTTGGTTCTGGCAGTGCAATTATTGTTACAACTAGAAATGTCAATTTACTGAATGGCCTCGGAAAAGATTGTGAGAAGTATAATGTTGCAATGTTAAGTCACGAGGAATCTTTGCAACTCTTTAGTTGGCATGCTTTTAAGAACCCAAATCCTTTGAAGCCTTTTATAGAACTATCAAACATGATAGTAATTTATGCTGGTGGACTTCCTTTGGCACTTACTGTTCTAGGCTCACATTTTCGAGCAAGATCGTCCGTTCAAGAATGGAGCAATGACTTTGTGAAGTTAAGAAGTATTCCTCATAATGATATTTTGGAGATTCTCAAAATTAGTTATGATGCACTTGACGATGATACTCAAAGAATCTTCTTAGATATTGCATGCTTTTTTATAGGTGGATTCTATGAAGAATACATTATTATGGTGTTGAATGGTAGTAATTTCTATGCTCAAAGTGGAATTAGAACTTTGATTGATAAGTGCTTGTTAGCAGAAGATCTCTCTATGCATGACTTAGTCCGAGATATGGGAAGAGAAGTTGTTCGCAAAGAAGCGCCTATACAGCCTGAAAAAAGAAGCAGATTGACTTTAGCTGATGATGTCTTTGATGTTCTCAAGGGTGACAAGGTAAATGCTTGTTTCTAGTTGTTTTTTTTTTTTTTTTTTTAGTTAATTACATTTTATAGTTTTTCAATTATTTATTTGTTATTTATATTTCCAAATTAGGGACATATTACTTGACCTGGACATTTACATTATATTTGCGTCATTTAGTAATGTATTAATGTATTAATGATGTGAAGTTATTTTATATTTCAGGGTACCGAAGCAATTGAAACAATGATCATATATTTGCAAAAAAATGTGAATTTGAATACTAAGGTATTCTCTAAAATGACCAGATTAAGATTACTCAAAATCTTGTCCATGAATGTTAGGGGATCTTTAAAATACTTGTCCAATGAACTCAGATTGCTTTATTGGAAAAATTGCCCTTTGAGATGCATATCGTCTGATCTTTGCTTGGGAAAACTTGTTATTTTAGAAATACAAGGTGACAATATTGAGGAATTCCAACCTAATTTGCAGGTTTGAAATTTATATGTTATTTCTTTTGAGTTTTGACATTACGTTTACGTTTTTTTAAAACAAAAGGCATCACAATTTAATTACACTAAAAGATAAGGTAAAGCTGACCTCTGCTTTTTATATTTTGATTTCAACAGCATTTTACATGCTTGGAGGTCTTAGTGCTTGCTCTTTGCAAGAAACTTAAAAGAGCCCCCAACTTTGGTGGAGCACATAGTCTAAAGAAACTCTCCCTGTGGGGTTGTTCAAAGTTGGTTGAATTGCCACAATCAATTGAGGATTTAAAAAACCTTGTCCAGTTAGATTTGGGTGCTTGCAAGAATCTCAGGGCCCTTCCTAGTAGCATTTGTGAGTTGAAATCTCTTAAGGGTCTTAATCTGCAAGGGTGCTCCAAGATAAAAGAATTGCCTGCTAACTTGGGAAAATTGGAGCAATTAGGTCTGCTTAATGCAACTGATACTTTGGTGTCACATCTACCTTTTTCTTGCGGATCTTTGAGATATCTCAAAACTCTGCTACTACCACCGTTGTTGGAAGGGTATAGGAGTGTGAAACCTATTGGGCATTTGACATCTTCATATGCTAATTTATGTTCCTTGGAAACTCTAAGGGCTCCTTACCAATCTTTGCAGCATTTATCCTTATTGGCAAATTTACATCTTCAAACTGGTCATGGGAATTTATCCTTATTGAAAGATTTAGATCTAAGGTATAGTTGTTTCCATTCCTTTCCCTTAAACCTTTGTCATCTTGCCCAGCTACAAGTACTCCGCTTGGACAACTGTCTGAACCTTCAAGTGATTAAAGATCTTCCACCTTGCCTGGAGAATCTCTTTGCAGTAAATTGTCCCTTGCTAGAAAGCGTACGAGATCTTCCACCTAGCTTAAAGGATCTCTTGTTAGATGATTGTCCCTTGCTGGAAGACATACAAGACCTATCTGGCTTAATAGGGCTACATTATTTGTATTTTTATAACTGCAGCAATTTGATTGAGCTTCGAGGCCTTGAGAATCTCGTTGAGTTAAGAGAAATTGACAATAGAAATTGTAGCACTCTGAGCAGTAAATCTTGGTTTGTGAACTTGTTTAAGGTTAGTGATCTCTCTCTCTCTCTCTCTGAAACTGCCTCTAATGTTTTCTTATTGCAGCTGGTAATGTTTGTCGTTTTTAATATACGCAGGCACTTTTGCAAAACCCAAACTGCCGTGAATGGCTTAAAATGAGTGTTTCCAAAGACATGGTTTCAAAATACTTGTGCAGCAATAATGAAGTAGCTGGGTGTTCATCAAATTACAGATTGCCATTGTTTTTGAAGAAAAAAGGGATATTTATTGTTGTGGAGATTTTATGTTTGTTTCGGCTGAAATTTTTGGATTACAAAATGATTGGAACAGAGTTGATATATCCAGATGATGATATGGAGGTTCGATGCACAGTATATAATCTTTTTACAGAACCCAATAAATTCGAAGAAGTAGAGGAGCTTATAGAGTTGCATTCATCGTCTGAGGAAAAATGGAAAGATAGAAGCATTCTTCAAACATGTATAGTATATGAAGAAGAGGGTGAGGTATACTTCATTCCTATGAACCCAAATGTGGTGATAAAATTCCATCCTCAATCTACAGACGATGAAATTACAGGCATGGAAAGAGAGCAGCAGAATGAAGGGAGTTGCATTTGGGATGTTGTATGCCTGCACCCTTTATTTCTATGTCTTGGTTTTTCTGACTGACACACAATTAGCTCAATTGATTAACTATTTTATGGCTTGTGCAGCAGTTTTAATCTCTTCTATATGTAGTCTTGTTGGCTTGTGCACATTGTTTTGTATGGTAATGTTGTGCCATCAGGTTTGCTCTATAAATGCTTGTACATGAATAATTTTATACTTGAGTTAAACCAACACTTTCATTTCTTTCGATCTAACCCAATTTGCCCTAAAAAGGGTGACCGAATGAGTGGAGCATTCGTTCGATTCTGATTACTTATTATCACTCTCTCGATATCCACTTGTAAGCAACCTGGGATGGTACTCATCGTGTGAAAACTAGATAAGTTTGATTCTTTTCAACAATTGCGCAACTGCCGGATAATTACTGGTAAGCAACCTGACTTCTTCATCTCAACTGATACTTTGTTCATGTTATCTCAACTGAAGCTATCCCTGATTCAGACATTGATACAGGAGCACAGTAGTTTGCCAAGGCGATGCAAAGAGAGTGGATTTTCAATTTGGAGCTTTTTCTCTGTTTTAAGCTTGGAGTTGGATTGAACAAACTACAAAGATGGTATTTCTGAACCCAATAAAAATTCTAATGAACCCAGTTTTTGCATTTTGAAGGTTTTGAAAAAGTCTTTGTTTGGGTGGCTAGCTAATCATTGCATGGATTTTTTTATTAATAAGAATTTTCTTACTACGATGTATGAATTGACTTTATAATTGTTTAACCTTCCATCCATCCAAATTCCACAATCAGGCAAAATTTCAGCAATTGTGTAGCACCCCACTGGAAAGAATCAGTGAATGTGCAAAGGTGAGCGTTTTTCTTTGAATTCTCCGCTGCGTTACAAAAAAGCCCAGTTCTGCAGAAAACCAGTAGTAACCAACCAACTTGCCTCATCAGCTTCTTCATCTCGCCCATGGCTGACGCTGCATCATCTTCTTCACTTCCTTGCTGGTCATATGACGTTTTCTTGAGTTTTAGAGGTGAAGACACGCGAAGGTCCTTTGTGGATCACCTCTACTCCGCGTTGTGCCGGGTTGGAGTTAACACGTTCAGAGACTCGGTAGAGCTCCGGAAAGGAGAGGACATCTCTGTTGAGCTCTTGAAAGCCATTGAGCAGTCCAGGATTTCCATCATCGTATTCTCCGAAACCTACCCTTCCTCCAGATGGTGCCTTGAAGAGCTGGTGAAGATCTTGGAATGCAAGGAGAGGCTAAAGCAAGTGGTTCTTCCTGTATTCTACCATGTCCATCCTTCTGAGGTCCGCAAACAAACGGGTGGATTTGGTGATGCGTTGACTCAACACAGACAACGATTTACCAATGACAAAGTTAATGAGTGGAAAGCTGCACTCACTAAGGTTGCAAATTTCTCAGGTTGGGATTTGCAGAATGTTGCAGACGGGTATGCCATTTTCTTATTGCCAGAGTTAATTTATAATGGTTCTTAGAACAGTGGAATTGGGATCCAAGAATTTAAATTTACAGTGCATTTGCCTGTTTTCCTTTGACTTAATTTGCCAGTGTGGTCTAATACTTCTCTGCAATAAAAATTTTCAGGTATGAACCAAAGTTTATTGATAAAATAATTGGAGAAGTGTTATTGGAGGTAAACTGTACATACATGAATGTTGCAAAACACCCGGTTGGGATTGATATCCGAGCCAAAGAACTACTTTCAGTCTTGCAACTGGGAACAAGTGACGAGGTTCGAATGATTGGAATTTATGGCATGGGAGGTATAGGGAAAACTACCCTTGCTAAATCTGTATACAACCAAACATTTCAAATGTTTGAGGGTAGTTGCTTCCTTGCAAATGTTAGATCAGAAGCCTCGGAGAAACATGTTGGTCTAACTCATTTACAGGAGAAACTTCTTTGCAAAACTCTTAGGAAAAAGAAATTTCAAGTTGGCAATGTGGATGAAGGAATTAGTTTGATAAAAGCGAGGCTGGGATCAAAAAGGGTTCTCGTTGTTCTTGATGATGTAGACCATATAAGTCAATTGGAATCGCTTGCAGGACAAAGGGACTGGTTTGGTTCAAGCAGTAGAGTCATCATAACAACTAGAGATGCTCATTTGTTGAGTGACCTTAGAACGGATGAGAAGTATGAGATGCAAAGGTTAAGCTCAAATGAATCTCTGCAGCTCTTTAGTTGGCATGCTTTTGGTTGTTTTCCACCCGCGAAAGGCTACAATGTGCTATCAAAAGGAATTGTAAATTATACTGCAGGGCTTCCGTTAGCACTTGTGGTTTTAGGTTCACACTTCCGTGGAAGATCAAAACAAGAATGGATATATGACTTTGAGAAATTAAGACAAATCCCCCATGGCGATGTTCAGAAAATTCTTAGAATAAGCTATGATTCACTTGATGATGACACTCACAATATCTTTCTAGATATTGCATGTTTTTTCATTGGATCTGTTAGAGAAATAGGGTGTTAGTTGAGAGGATCTCTCTTAGCCTTAGTTTTAGGTGTTTGAAATCTATGGCTAGGATTAGTTCTTGTCTAATATAAATAGCTCTATACTTCCTTGTACATTGACACACAGAACATATAGAAATATACAGTTAGTTTATTGTTTAACATGGTATCAGAGCCTTGAGGTGATTGGGTAGTGGGTGTTGGTCAGAAAGAGGAGGCGACGCCGGCGGGAGAGGCGGAGCAGCCACCGGAGTCCTCACGCGCCGGCGCAGTCCTAGGGTTCCGACGCCACACGCCGGTGCGTGGGCAGTTCTCCGGCGTCTTCTCCGGTCGCGGCCGGTACTGTTGGGCTCGTCTCTGAACACCCAACGCGTCTGCAGTGGTGGTGTACTCCGGTGTTGCGAAGGGCTACTGCGTTTTGGACTGCTACGTGTTGGACTGCTGCATTTTTTGGACTGCTGCGTTGTGGACTGCTGCATTTTTGGACTGCTGCGTTTTCGGGTTGGTCTGTTTTGTTTATTATGGCTGAGGAGAGTGAGCAGAGGATGGAGGGCTGCGTCGAGTGGTTCAGTGAGGGGTTTGGGTTCATAACCCCCGACGACAGCAGCGAGGATCTGTTTGTTCACCAGTTTGGTGTCAGCCGAGAAAGAGAGACAGCCAAGAGAGGTGATAGGGGAGGTCCATGAAGCTGGGTGGTCTGAGGTCCACGAAGCTGAGGAATAATTAGGCAGTAGTTTTCTTTTGTTTATCGTATTCGTATTAATAAGTCTTGAGCTTTGTATTTTGTTTATCATAGTTTGTCGCTTTAAGTTAATTTGGTATGGGAGCAATTCTAGGGTCTGAGTTGAGTCAAGTGCAGCTTGTTCAGTGTGCGTAAACAGGGGTGTTGCAGGAGTGGGCAGCACAAGTGGCAGGAGTGGGGCGGACCTGGCATATGCCGCGGGGGAGGCCGACGGCTGAAGAATGATTCAGAGTGAATCAGTTTACGTGCATGCACCAGGGAAACGCTGTAGTGTTAGGCAGCGTTGATAAGGGTGCATGGTGAGAAGGACAAGTGCATTGTGGTCTAGCAGCGCTAATGGTTTGTGGAGTGAGAGGCAGGTACGCTGTGGTGTTAGGCAGCGGTGATAGGGTGTGGGGTGTGAGAGGCAGGTGTGGCGCTGTGGTGATTGGCCTAGCTTTTGTTGGCTCCGTAGAAGCATTGTTGATGCGACAAGGCACCTTGTGGACTGGTTTGGCACAGCGTGGTTCGAAAGTTGTTCGAGTGGTTCAAGACTTGGGCTTATGAGTCTAGGTGTGGAGTCCTATGGTTCATGTGATACATATGTAACAAGTTGGATGCTCCAACTTGAGGGGGAGTGTTAGAGAAATAGGGTGTTAGTTGAGAGGATCTCTCTTAGCCTTAGTTTTAGGTGTTTGAAATCTATGGCTAGGATTAGTTCTTGTCTAATATAAATAGCTCTATACTTCCTTGTACATTGACACACAGAACATATAGAAATATACAGTTAGTTTATTGTTTAACAGGATCTGACATACAAGATGTTGTACCCATATTGAATGGTTGTGGTTTCTACGCTGAAAGTGGAATTCAAACTTTGGTTGATAGAAGCTTGTTAACAGTTTGTAAATATGGTGAGCTTCAGATGCATGATTTAATTCGAGACATGGGAAGAGAAGTTGTTCGAATGGAATCGCCCAGAGATGTTGGGAAAAGAAGTCGATTGTTTTTACCTGATGACGTCTCTCAAGTTCTTCAAGAAAACAAGGTTCAATTTGTTCTTGCTCAGTTTTTCTTGTATTTACAAGATTCAGGTCTAACTTACTATTATGATTTTTTTTCCTGTTGTCAGGGAACCGAAGCAATTGAAGGAATGATTATACATTCTCGAATGTTAAAGAATGTGCATTTTAGTACCAAATTGTTCTCAAGGATGGTTAAATTAAGGATACTCAAAATTGATGGTGATTTGCATCTAAAAGGATCTTTCAAGTACCTATCCAATGACCTTAGATTGTTTTCTTGGCGAAATTGCCAATTAAGACACATACCATCTACTTTTCATCTGCAGAAACTTGTTTGTTTAGATTTGCAAGGTAGCGATATAGAGGAATTTCAACCTCGTTTGCAGGTTCGATGCATTGTTTACTATTATATAAAAAGTACTACTTTGTTAAGAACATAAGAGACTGACTGCAAGTTTTTTATTGATTTGGACAGCACTTTAGTTGTTTGAAGATCTTAAAACTTGATAGTTGCGGAAAACTGAAAACAGCCCCAGACTTCACCAGAGCACAAACTCTACAGAGGTTGTCCCTTACATATTGTTCTAATTTGGTTGAAATGCCAGAGTCAATAGGGGATTTGAAAAGCCTTGTGGAGTTAGATTTATCGTTTTGTTCTAAGCTGAGGAAACTGCCAAACAGCATTTGCCAGTTGAAGGCCCTTGAGAAACTAAGCATGTGGAGCTGTTCAGACATCCAATTGCCGACTGACTTGGGAAAATTGGAGCGCCTAAGGGAGCTGGATGTAAATGTGAATGCTTTTTCATCTATCATTTTCTTGTGGAGACTTGTGTTCCTTGAAGATTCTACGGGTCAACAACGACCATGGGC